GGAACAGCTGGAAATAATATTGGCGGTAGTCAAGCTCGTGAGTAGTGGCTAGTAATATTTATATTTATTAGTAATTCTGAAAAAAGTGAGCCTTGAAACGAGGATTTTATGGGCAAGAGTACGAGCGGACAGCGTCTGAAAATATTGTTCCACTTCAAGACATTCAAAATATTTTAAAATAGTTACCATCTATGAAGACTTGATTCTAGCAAAATATTTTCTTCCCTACAGAATCTGCCGGTAATCGTATTGTTGGTGATGGCAACACTGTTTCAAGTCTCGCCAATGTCAATCCTCAAGTCAATGCTGGCGTGAATCTTCTAAGTTCAGCAACGCAAACCGTTTCTGGTGTGGCTGGCGGTGCTGCTGGTGCTAGTGGTGGACTTTTAGGCGGCGTACTAGGTAGCACAACTAGTGGACTTCTAGGTGGCGTACTTGGTGGTGCAACGAGTGGAGTTTTAGGCGGCGTACTTGGTGGCGCAACTAATGGACTTTTAGGCGGCGTGCTTGGTGGCGGACCTTTAGGCGGCGAGGTTGGTGGCTTGGGTGGTGGGGAAAACAACATCGGTGGCCAGCAAGTCTGTAAGTATGCGGGCGTGGTAAAACACAAACACAAAACAAGAGTGCTAATGAATCTTTAACATTCTAGTGAATAGAGGCTCCACCATATTGGGAAATAATAATCAGGTTTCCAGTTTATTGAATGTCGATCCTCAAGTGAATGTAAATGTTAATGCCTTAAGTAGGGTTAATCAACAAACCAGCGGCACTGGAGGTCTTTCGGGTACTGGTGGTGCTCAATCATGTAAGTTGAAGATATACTTTTTATTTATGTACTCAAAAACTTCGCTTGACTGCTGCCAAACTCTGATGGAGACAGCGGCATAGAACATACTTCTTCATAGCATTTGAGTCACAGGTTGCATATGCAGAGTGCATCACTATAAACCGCCAAGTCACTAGGCTCTTGCTGCGGCATGCTAAATCTTTAAAGGTTGGAACACAATGGGGCGAAAACTACCAACACTATTAGAAGTCCAACCATGGACAACTACTTATGTATGCTGGGGCAAATATAGGCGTGTCGAGCAGATGGTAATCCTGTAGGGCTATGTCCTCCAAATCTGGCACTGACACTGGACCGCTCTTCGCCTTGCATGTTCCTTATTCCTCGATTGGCCTGCGAATCATCGGTCTTACCTGACTTGGGTTTTCCCAATTCAATAGTCACTCGCTTAGCGCCCAGCACGCAACTGCGGTTTAAGTCGCAACCTAAGCGCTGGCCCGCAAAACCAATTTGACCCCAATGCCAGTTTTGTTGGTTCCTGATCACGGTCGTCACCACCCTGTATACACACAAACACCATGTAGTTTTCCACTGGTGTCATACAGGTGATAAAAACGTTGTCACGATAAGAGAAAAACACATCTTGCGATGTTTTTCGTATTATCATTTCCCCCTACCTTCTTTATCATTGGTCGGGATAATTTTGAAGCGAATATCTCTAAAGTAGGATTTTTGCTAATGAGATAAATCATCACCGATGATCAGTTGTTTTGTTTGCTCTTCAAGCTGGAGCGTAGTTAATTAAGTTAATTGAGTGTGGGCTTCGCTTCTATCGGTCGGCGTAAAAGAATGAGAAACTTTGTTGGGGCCAGTACGCGACAGCCCTATACCGCCTGGAAACGTTTACTTAGGGATGCTATCTTTAGACAAGTGGCGAAAAAGTGGTGCCAAAGCACAGATTCTTGCATATCTGAAGTAAATAAGAAATGCAGTATCTCTGAGGAGGGTCATTGCCTTATATGCAGGCATGGAGAACTGCTACGAATCTGAGGAGGAAGTTATCCGCCATGTTTTTTTTTTGAGGTGGAGGATGGACCGATAGGGGGCATAGGCATCTTCTTAGGCTCGTAAGTCCCTTTTGGTGGGTGTACTGACAGGTCACTGCCTGATTTGAATTAACGCAGTCAGATTAAACATCACGCCGCACTGTCTTCGTCGCGGCTGCCTGGAGGACGACCTAGGTGGAATCATTCGGATGCTTCCTCTTACACTGCCCATCTTTTGATAGACTGCGCCTTAGGCACCTGGATTAGCACTTTGTAATTGACTCGGAGGAGCTTTCCGGAATTAACATTCGTTCGCGACACGCATCGATTCTTGCTTTAACCTATCAGTCCCAGGCGGCAAACACAAGCGGGAAATACTTGTTGAAATTCACCTAGGAAACTCTTGTACACACGAACCTCTATGTGGCTTGCTAAAATCTTACCTAACCTAAAACAAATTCCTTGCATGTATTGACCAACATGAGTCGAAATTTTCATTTCAGAACTAGTTCTAAAATAATTAAAGGAGCCGGTCATGATCTTAAGTGCATTTTGTCTATCACTACACATATCAGAGCATATTCAAACAAGATCAGAAAAAAAGTGTGTCCATTTTCTTCCATAAAACTAGACTCCGAATTGGTTACGACAGTTTCTTCGCATCGTAGAAATTGGGAAAAAGGTTTCAAATCAATAGGGGGTTGAATGTGACCAGGTGGAATTTTCAGCAGCTACTATCTGAAACCGTTTCCCTGCTAAATCTTACGCCTCTCTCAACAAACAAACCGTGTCTTAGGTTTAACAAGACGTGATGGGCCTAATGACACCCAGAGGCTAATTTTGGTACTGAGGAATAATTTTGGCAAAAGCGTTTACAGACCCATGGTCTGTTTTTATTAACTAAAGTTTAACATCTGTCCGGTGCGGTTTGTTACTTTTCTTCAACTTTCCGGAACATAAAACCCAAAAGTATAGATCCAATGTCTTGTCAAATCACTTTTTCTGATGGACCTTTTTGCTTTCTGGCTTCATTGAAAACCACTTTACCCTCAATCCAATCACAATTTGACTCTTGCTTTAAAATAGGGCTGATGTAATATTGCCTTAAAATTTTTACTTCTCCGTTTTTGTGAAAAAAATTACTCAGTAGTAAAAAATGGCCTTTTATGATATCTACTTCTATTTTACAGCGGCGGTAGGAAGTTCTGGAAGCACTGGAGCTACCCGAGTTGCTGGCGGAAGTCAAACACGTAAGTAGAAGATCATTATCTAATGTTTAATGATTTCAAGCTTTTAACTTGTATACTAAAATAATTTTTTTTTTTAATTTTCTACAGTTAACAGCGGTACGGTTATACAAGGCTCAGGCAATGCAGTTTCCTCACTGGCCAATGTAGCGCCTCAGGTTGGCCTCGATATAGATTTACTAAATGCTGTAACTCAAACGGGCGGCGGCGGCGGTGGTGCTGGATTGCTTGGTGGCTTATTGGGCGGCGGCGCTGCCAATAACCTTGGAGGCCATTTACCTCCAACCCCACGACCAACTCTGCCTCCTACACTTCCTCCATTACCCCCGACACTACGTCCAACTCCACCTCTCACACTTCCTCCGACTGTACCGCCAACTCCCCCTACACTTTTACTAACTTTGCCCCTTTATCCTCCAACTTACCCGACTGCACTAAACGTACCTTATGCCTACCCTCCGCAACCACCATCGCCGTCCTACTTGGCACCACCTTTACCACCACAATTCCCTAAAGCTAACTGCTTTGAAATTACGGATTACGATCTAAATGGGAATAAGGGTCAATCTCGTATAGTGTGTGTTCCACCTCCGTCCCCGCCAACACGTCGTTGTTTCCTCCGCCGTTGCAACAAATGGTCAAATCAAGCAGATACCAGCTGCTGTTTTGAAAACCATCCACATTCGCAACCACATGCACCTATACCCGCACCTGCGCCAGCACCGATTTACGAATCGCCACAACCTGGACAGATAGAGTCACCGATAAATCTAAGATACGATCATTTCTACCCTTAATGTGTTTTGTAACTCTATTCCGTTGAAAATAAACGCCGGTTTTCCTCCGAAAAAGCTCGTTTTATTTTATCAAAAACTCGACTTACATTTTAGCAATTGGCAAAGTATCAATTTCTATTCAATTCTCGACAAGCGACGATAGGAACGTAAGCGTAGTAGTGGCAGATGATGGTATGTTCATCTACTCGGAGGACCTGCTGATGGGTGCGTCTTTTCATCTGCCAAACAACTGCAGCCTCTCTTAAGGTGAGATTCATTTCATCGAGAAGGCAGTTAGACTTCTACCTTATACCAGCTCCGTAGCTTTGAAGCCAATAAATTCCATAATATTTAAATCGGGGAGTTTATAGAAAAGCTTTACCGCATTTGAGCCTAGGCTTTTCTCTCGTCGGTCCGGAACCGGAACCCACTCAAGGAGTTTGGGCTGTCAGAAAGCTCAGTTGCACGTTAGGAAGGTTAATTTGAAGCTTTTATATGTTAGGGTTGAAGCCACCTAATAAGCTCTTAACTTGTGATTTGATACCCAAGGTAGTCTAGTGTCATGAGGAAGAATGCATGATTACTTTCTGTGTCGATTTCCAAATCTGGGAAAAAGCTTCTTCAGCAGTCTAGTACCTTGGGCTCAAATTCATGTGAAATAGGGGGTCAACCGCACAGTGCCATGATTTTTATTTCTATTGTCTTTTTATAGGAACCCTGGTTAAGGAAGTGTGCCTGCTCATTCGCAGAGGATAGTCAACAGTGTATCACAGTAGAAGTATGGCACTCTTCAAACGCTTTCTAATAAGCGGAGAGCCACTTCCAGACTCTTCGCCAAATTTGGCTGTAATCTTCAAAATGAGGAATCAAAGCAGCCAGTGGAGAGGGTCAAGGGCAATTTTGTGACGGACGGAAAGCTGGAACGCCCACCTGACCTCAGACCAGCATCCACTCATAACAGGATACTGATCTCAAGAAGTTAACGGTCAGTGGGCAACACTACTGATACGAGGCTTGTTGGCGCAACGGGTGTACTGAGTTCCTGATAATGTTGTGCTTGACCTAGTCCCAAAAGGCCTTTTCCTTAACAAGTCAGCTATTACTAGCGCATACAAATTACGGGATTTAGAATACTAGAAAGCAGGGCGCATTCCAAAGACTACATAATAACAAGAAATTAGCTTAACTACAAGTACTGAACGAAATTCCGAAACTGCAGTGACTCGATTCAAGAAGAGAATAAATGCTTGCTGGTCGACAGCCATGTTCTTAAAGCGAAGTCTAAGATGGAAGCAGACATTTTCATTGAGCAACTCAATTTCTCGCGTAGAAGGTGAACATTTTTCCGAATTCCAGGCATCGATTCAGGCATACCACTTTTCCTTGTCTAGGTCGCAATCCGTGGAACATTGAAAGACGATTCTAATGGATATTATTGCATACCTAATAGCGACGCCAGTAACAACATGTTGGCGCCAAATATTCATTTACAACGCTTTCTTCATAACAGGTACAACGTGAAACTACTTTGACTTTATTTATATCGCAGTGCCCGTGTGGCAAAAATAAAATCAAGTACGCGCCCCAACCATCAATTACACTGGCATCAGAATACTTGTCGCGCGTATACCTAGATGGAGAAAGCGCCCAAAAGGCGGCAATGAAAAGTGTGACGCACATAAATTATGCGCTCGCATACAAAAAACTTTCGCAGCTATGAAGAAAGATGGTTGCTCCATAAACTATGCGTACATTCTTGAATATCAGCTAATTTTATCGCTTCTTTTCAACAACAGGAATGAAAGTGGAAAATTGTTGCTTTATTTTTCCGCACAACAGCCGCGTTGATGTTTTTATTGCATTCATTACAAATTTCATATTCTCTCCCCGTTAAATTATGTAGTTCAATTACTCAGCTTGGTGGTAATAACATTCGCCACAGTTGAGCGCCAAGTATACAAACAACAGGGAAACAAACAACCAGCGAAAAAAACAAAAAAGCTCCGCTTGTCTGATGCCGTTGGCTACCCAAACTGTCTTTGTTTGCCTCGTCTACTTACCTGCTTCTTTCATGTTCTTCGAGCACGTGTCCTGTATTTTAAAGCAGTTTTGGGGTTTCCTTTAGTCTTCCTATTATTTAGTCATACCGCGCTGGTTTCCTTTATCATTTTCATATCTCCCACCAGCTATCTTTTTCCGTTTTCCTCGTTAATATAAATTTGATGCGCTTTCTATTGCTGTTAACTTTTTCTTTAATTACCTTTGCGTTAATTTTTCATTTCGCTTTGGGTTGAATTTTAAACATCTCATTCTTGTGCGGGTTGGTTTTATTGGATTATCTGCAAATAAATTTGTACACCGGGTTTTACTGTCGAAGTGCGGCTATGAAATATTTAAAACTTATTTGGCAGGCATTTTGTGAGAGGTCAACTCGTTTTACGTAGAAGGTACTTGAGACGCGCAGAGAATTTGTTAGTTAAATTTTAATTTGGTTAGAGTGGTGCTAAGACAATTTGGAAAGGGACAATGAAAATGTACAATGAGCTGATGAAAACACGTTCGTCTTGATGATGAACTCAGTTGCTGTGCTTCAAAAGGCGTTTGCCTTCGCGATAGCAAAAACTCCTGTCGATGCTTAATAAAATTTACGCAAATAAACCGAATTCTGTATTGTGGAAATGAATTCGTTTTCTCGCGGTATGTCTTCTTTTTCTTTAATTAGCACTATAACCGTTTGTCGCTTTGAGCCGAGACAAAAAAGCTTCGCCAGTTGCTTCTATCCTTGCAATTTTACGCGTGTTGTTCATCCATTGGGTCCGTGGGCGCCCTTGCTTTCCTTGTCCACCCATGGGTGCGGAGCTGAAGAACCTTTTCACAGGAGCGTCGTCATCCATGCGCAAAACATGTGCAGGCCAGCGATATTGTTGTATTTTTAGGTCCTTAACTATACCCATTTCTTAAAAACGCTCGTACAGCTCATCATTCCATCTTCTACGGTACTCCTCGTCTACACGAACATAGAATAGTTGTCTCAAAAGCCCCCCAAAGCCTTTGTCAGACATCTTCCATGTTTCTGCGCCATATAAAAGGATGGGCGTGATGAAAAATTGTAGAGCGTGAATTTTGTTCGTCGAGAGAGGGCTCTGCTTTTCAATTGCCTACCGAGCCTAAAGTAGCACCTGTTGGCAGGAGTTAGTCTTCGCTTTATCTCCAGATTGACATTACTGGTGGTGTTTATGGTGAAACCCGGCTAAAAAAGTGCTTCTATATTTCAAAACTATACCTACCTGCTTTTTATGAGTTGCCGCTAGAGGGATTGAGTGTAGCCGTGCAACTGTAGCTCCATACCCAGAAGAACGGCTCACACCCCATTGCAGCCCACGCCGCACACTGTTGCGATTATATGGAGGCAGGTGGAACAAAGTCATTGTGACAGTCGAAAGTCATAAATACAAAATTTCACATCAAAGTGTGAGTACCGGTCCGTATGGTCTTTAAATTAGACGCATGTTTTAGAGAATTTTATTTAGTATTCGAATATGGTATAATTGGATCTTTTCGCGCGACTTTGCAAATATATGTAATTGTCGATTTTCTTAATTTACGAGTTTCAGCTTTTTTTGCATAATTTGCCGAAAAGAGTTTTACGAATTTTAAATTATGTGTAACCTTTGTTTTCTGAGAGTGGAACAAAACAAAAACTAATCAAAATTCCATCTCATTTGATGACTGGGGTCCACATTGATAGTCCGCGAATGGCGCATCGTATACCTTATCCTATTCTGTTCTATATTTTTCAGTCGTAGTTTGTGTAAACAGCTCATTACCTTACGTTTTTTTTGGATCAGTTATAAGCTCATAAACAGCCTCTTTACCCGGTCTTCGTGTCTTACACCCCTAATCTAACGAAGTCACAAAATTCAGCGCATCACTATTGTGATTTCCACTGCGACTCAATGTATGCCACAAAAAATATCCCGCTACAAAAAAAAATATTTAAATTTGTGTACACTTCCTTAGAATTTAATGTAAAATTTTTGTGGCAGTAGAAATCACAATTGTGATGCGTTGAGTTTTGTGAATTTGTCAAAATAGTAGGCGGGTAGGTCGCATTTGTGGTTTGAAAAAAAAGCTGCGTGTTCAGTTTCGAAGCGCAGGGCTACTTTTATATGAGAGCACCAATTACAGGGTAAAATTTTTATTAGTGCAAAATTTAAGTTACTGTGCTACTTAGTTACTGCGTTATGGGGTTACACTGCAGCCAACTTGGCACCAGTGGATAGACAACGAAACCAAGGAAATTCGCGCTGCAATCAAGTGCAGAAAAATCGGTTGGGGGTAGGATTATTGTTGAAGCTTTTATGTCTTGATCTAGCTGAAAAACAATTATAGAGATAATTAAAAAGATAAAGCAAATTTTCTTTAGAACACAATTCAATTCCAGACTTGAGATCGCATACCATATGTGTAATGCTCTCAATATCTATAAAATTAGTAGTTAGATTTTAACTTGTTAAAGCTAGCATGCTCCTTAACATTCATCTGCAAAGTGAGCATAAAGCTTACGGATTCGCAAGCAACACCAACTGGTGCATATTTTCAGGCGCGCAGACAAATGACTTCTCCGCCTGCCTATGTCAATCTCGTTGCTGCCAGCGTCAACGGCGCAGCTGTTGAAAGACAGCAGACAAATAGCCAAAAAACATTTTTATTAGAAGCGGTGAAAGGAAGACACAGAACGCGTTGTTGTTGTTCTGTCTTTTTTCTTTCTCTTCTAGTAGCTAGCGCTACTATTTTATAGCCACATGTACTCGTATTTGTATTCCTTGCAAATACATTGAACGTGCTATGAATTTTTAAATAAAATCATTACCTCCCTCAGATGGGATACAACTCAGAGAGACCAGAAAGTGAAAGCATACATCTAGGCGTTGTAACGGGTGGGGGGTGCTTCTTTGTATGTGGTACAAAGTACATTTTTACAGCTATAAACTGAAGTATAAAATGAAATTTGCGCCAAA